CCTTCCCCTTCTCCCACCACCACAAGGGAAGGTATATAAGGACTGCCCCCACACATCGGAGCTCAGAATCGGAGCTCATAGCCCTGAAGATGCAGACTGCAATGTTTGCGAAACGTCGGCGCAATGCTGAAACTCAACGCGGCATCCATCCGGAAGCCAACCAAGTCATTAATAATGGCCGCGAAAGCCTCAAAACTAATAACTTACTTCCATGTAATTTCCCTATTTCGGCTGATGATCGATGACTTTCATGATGAAATCCACGAAAGTCATCGGCTGAACTCTTATAAATTTCAGCAAACTGTTTCAGGCTATGAATCTCTTTCAAGCATTTCGAGAATGCGATATTCATAAGTGGCCAATATCTTGGCGAAAAGCCTTGATAATTTGCACACTCCGAGCTCATATCCCATTGGAAATGACTGCTGGAAAATTCTTCAAATTTACACTGAGCGGTTTCATAAACGTGAGAAAACAAAACTATGTACACCATACCATTTTATTTTCTATTGTTCACTTTCTACAGATTTTAAGATCGTCCATGGCATACATTTCAATGCTGCGAGCAATGCTCTGATGGACGGAAACTACTACAGTATTTCATGGATATTGAAGGTGTGGAATCGATCGAAGATAGTAACTGTTAATGAGTTGAAAATTTAACATGACTGATAACAGAATAACTAAAGTTCATTTGAATATAATAAACGAAACGATATTAACCGAGGTCTAACCGTGGTTAGCTGAACCAAAAACTGGCCCTAAGCCTTTACTTTAGGGCGAGTTTTCGGTTCAGTTGAATTAAGACCCCCCATCACTACACCCAACCAACCAGAGATATTGATCCGGAGTTAACTTAACTTTAACCAAGATCTAACCATGGTCAGCTAAACCAAAAATTGACCCTAGTCTATCCTCGTTGGATCCAGATGACGGTCACATCTCGACGGACTTCACAGCATCCTTCAGATGGTTCACAAATTAGGGATTCGAAGAGGGATACGTAAAAATATCATATGGCACCACAGCCCGGCAATTTCCTTTTAATACCCTAGACTAGATAGACAAGTCAACAGCTTTGAAAGCCTCATGAATATCTAGAAATAAGAATCAGCTTATTCCAGGTATAGCATGCCTATCAGATTATCACCACACTGCTGCATAATGTATTCCCACCAGGTTAGCTTTCTTTTTAGATTCATTGCGCAACAGAAAAAGAGAACAGTCCGACCCCCCAGGCTCCACTAGAAAACCATCAGAAAATTGATCAATCAAATGCATATTAACGTTCATTATGTTATGAATGTCGGTGTGCGACTGCAATTGTATCTTTTCGAAGCTCCCAGTGGAGGGGTTGGGACAGTCAGTCTTGTCAACAGGTTATCAGTCGTATGGTAGAGCGGGTTGTGAGCAATATGCCTGACGTGAGTATCAAGAGTTCAAATAACAATCAGCAGGAGAGATTACTGTATTTTGAAATGCTTTCAAGGAATTTACAATAACGCAGAGATCAATGAAAATACTGAAATAGATGAGATGGACAATGTCCGCTATTGGTGTTGCATCGGACAAACAGGACTTCAAATTCTACATTTCCTTCTGTATCTGTTACCAATGGATTCTGCTGTTTGCCGATATTGCTGTCAATATTGAAAATCCCCCGAGTGGAAATTGCTTCAGGCCCACCTGAAGCACGATCAGAACTTGATCAGGTTTTTGTAAGGTTCGACTGATCCGATGATTCCTGATGAGAACCTGACGAAGTTCTGATCCAGCAGATCGGATCCGAAAAACTACAGGCGAGTTCAGACCAAGTTCTGATCAGGTAGACATGATCAGATGATGTCTGATGAGAACCTGACCAAGTTTTGATCCAGTAGATCGGATCCGAAAAACTGCAGGATGATTCAGATCAAGTTCTGATCAGGTAGGCACGATCTCACCCTGAGGTTGGCTGCCTGACCCCAATTTGATCAAATTCCGATTTGATGTCTTCGATCGGCATTTGAACGGGGTCAATTGAAGAGAAAATGATCAGATTCAGATCCGGTTCACCTGACATTAATTTTAGTAAGTTTTTCGGATAATTTAATCAACTATTATTATACTATTCAAATTAAGTTTTATCAACCATTATCAATAATTATTTTTCATCTTTAAGAAGGATTATTATACTATGAGAATAAATTAATTTAATTTAATGAATTTAATTTAATTAATCAATTTAATTAACAGCCAGCCCTTCTCAAATGTACAGAAGGGAGGGATGATATACCATAAATACGTATTAGAGGAGTATCAAACTTACACGCAAATGATCTTGAGAAAAAAAATCACCAAATGTCTATTTATTTATTAGTGTTATTGTTATTATCATTATTATTATTGATTAATGAAATAAATAAAAATTTAATTGAGCATATTTTATCTCTGAGAATACAGTCGAGCACTAAAGTTTGTGAACACCCTGAACTTGTATCTTATGGATTCTGATCACGAACTTTAGTGTTCGACTGTACACACGCACAAACGCACATCCGCGAGATCAGGAATAATCGTAAATTCAACGAATACCCCGATACAAATCACATAGGCAATGTACAGTTTACTCAATAGTAATACCGCGATAGCGNAATACAAACGCACATCCGCGAGATCAGGAATAATCGTAAATTCAACGAATACCCCGATACAAATCACATAGGCAATTTGCAGTTTACTCAATTGTAATAACGCGATAGCGTAGTTGTTAGGGCATAGGATTAGCAATCATAGGGTCCTCGGTTCGATCCCCAGGATCGGTAAAAAAATAAGCTTTTTCAGAGGTAATATCAGTAGAGATTCATTAAGAGAGGCGGCCTACGGTGAAAGAATTAAATTACCTTTTGTTTTGGATTAATTATCATTGATAATTTTTATTGATACTCACAGACAGGTCATCCGGTTTTCATCCAGTTGACTTGATCAAGTTCGGATCCATTCGTCCTGATCAAATCCGGATTGGTCAGAGGCGTAACATGTCTGATCAAGACCGGATCCGTCAACTTGATCAATACCTGATCAGTGGTCAGGTCGAATCTGATCCAAACTTGATCAAGACCTGACCGGAATTTCCACTCGGGAATCCTATGCCCTAACCACTACGCTATCGTGCTATTACTATTGAGTAAACTGTACATTGCCTATATGATTTGTATCGGGGTATTCGTTGAATTTACGATTATTCCTGATCTCGCGGATGTGCGTGTGTATTCTCAGAGATAAAATATGTTCAATTAAATTTTTATTGATTTCATTAGTGAATAATAATAATGATAATAACGATGACACTAATAAATAAATAGACATTTGGTGATTTTTTTCTCAAGATCATTTGCGTGTACGTTTGATACTCCTCTAATACGTATTTACGGCATCATCATCCCTTCCTTCTGTACATTTGAGAAGGGCTGGCTGTTAATTAAATTGATTAATTAAATTAAATTCATTAAATTAAATTAATTTATTTTAATTATAGTATAATGATGCTTTTTAAAGATTGAAAATAATTATTGATAATGGTTGATAAAACTTAATTTGAAAAGTATAACAATAGTTAATTAAATTATTCGAAAAACTTCTTAAAATTAATGTCAGGTGGAGCGGAACTGAATCTGATCATTTTCTCTTCAATTGACTCCTTTCAAATGCCGATCAAGGACATCAAATCCGAATTTGATCAAATTGGAGTCACGCAGCCGACCTCAGGGTGAGATCGTGCCTACCTGATCAGAACTTGATTTGAATCATCCTGCAGTTTTTCAGATCCGATCTACTGGTTCAAAACTTAGGTTCTCATCAGGCATCATCCGATCATGTCTACCTGATCAGAACTTGATCTGAACCCGCCCGTAGTTTTTCGGATCCGATCTAGATCGGATCCAGCAGCTGCTGGATCAGAACTTGGTCAGGTTCTCATCAGGAATCACCGGATCAGTTGAACCTTACAAAAACCTGATCAAGTTCTGATCGTGCTTCAGGTGGGCCTGAAGCAATTTCCACTCGAGCAGTTTTTCGGATCCGATCTACTAGATCAAAACTTGGTCAGGTTCTCATCAGACATCATCTGATCATGTCTACCTGATCAGAACTTGATCTGAACCCGCCTGTAGTTTTTCGGATCCGATCTGCTGGGTCAAAACTTGGTTAGGTTCTCATCAGGCATCATCTGATTATGTCTACTTGATCAGAACTTGATCTGAACCCGCCTATATTTTTTCAGATCCGATTTGCTGGATCAGAACTTGGTCAGGTTCTCATCATGCATCATCTGATCATGTCTACCTGATCAGAACTTGATCTGAACCCGCCTGTAGTTTTTTGGATCCGATCTGGTGGACCAGAACTTGGTCAGGTTCTCATCCGGAATCACCGGATCAGTCGAACCTTACAAAAACCTGATCAAGTTCTGATCGTGCTTCAGATGGGCTTGAAGCAATTTCCACTCGGGTAAGTGACGATAAGATGTTCACATATAAATGTCGAGTTGTTGCAAAACGGCTCGCATGTTTTTTTATGGTAGTTTCGTTCGAGTTTTGCAAGAGATTTTGCAAATCTCGAAGAGAAACTGCCGATCCAGAATTTCATCCTGTTCCATCCTTTAAACTCACGCAAGAGTTTTGGGATACGAATTAGTGACTGAAAAAAAAAATATTTTGATGAATATATCCCATATTATGTACAGATTTCTCTTGACTTGGAAGAATGTCTTCTTCCTTTACACTAGTAACGCCCACTCAAGGAAAACCAGCGGTAGCCCCGAGTCGCAGTCAAATGCCATAAGATAATTGTATAATCGAGCAAAAATAATTCCGTAATCTGTCGATTAAATCGCAGCAATTTGTGAAATTATAGTAGAGGAAAACAGCGAAGTATGGGGCAAAAAAATTGTCATTACAGACGAGTCGACAGTCGAAGAGAGAGCGATCTGAGCATCATGGTTGACGTGAGTTTCAAAGATTCCTCCGAGGGGATATTCACAGGCGCAATCGTGGTGTCACTCGCTGATGTAATCAATTGTAATCCCAGTGAAACCAATGTAATCATTGTAATCATATGATTACCATATTTGTAATCAGGTTTGGTTAATCAAGTGGTAATAATTTGTAATCACTGTAATCATTTGTAATCAGTGTAATCTTTCGTAGTTGCTCCTAGTGAGACCGTGAAGTTTGTTTTGGGATTTTCGAGCGCGTCATTTCTACCTACGGTAAGTCTCAGAGATCCCTGGATCAATTGTTCTTGGAATCCCAGATGTTTATGGTTCAGAACCTTGCATAGCCAATGCGTTTTGCACAAAGCATTTGCCCGTAGAAAATTGATTCAATAGAGTTGAAGTTTCTTCTTATTCTGGAGAACCAACGACTGAATTATCTCTGAATTATCTGCTGGTAAGTTTCATTCTCCATTAATGGTAAATATTCAGTAAATTTATTTTGCTGACAGCAGTTATAAATGCCCAAATTTTTAGATGGAGTGATGGAGACTGCATTCTTCGATTCCAATCCCCGACCCTCCTTCCTCATTTCTTTGCAGGTTCTAATAATCAATTATTCCATCAATTCATATTTCATAAGAGGCAATTTTTTGTGATTTCAATGATTACAGATTTTTGGTAATCACAGAATGTAATCGCCGAAATAATTTGTAATCATGTAATCACATTCTGTGCTCTTGGTAATCACGGTTATCATATAGGCAATGGTAGTCAGTGTAATTAGTCCCGTAATCCTGGGTAATCGATTACAGTTTGTAATCGCGGTGTCACCCAATTCGCCTGTGAATAGCGCCTCGGATTCCTCATCATATCAGTAACAAAGATTTATATCATTGTCCATTCCCACAGGATTCGGCAATTTCAAAAAAAACATTGCAGCATCTTGAGCGGATGAAATGGATAATGTCTACTATTGGTGTCGGATCGAGTACCTGGGGTGTGCTGTTTTACGTATCATTATTTTGTGTCATCTACCAATTGATCATGACGTATGCTAACCTCGTTGTTAATATCAATGATATCGAGTATGTTTTAGCTAATTTGATGGACAGCGTAGGTCTTCTCACCACCGGATTCTGTTTCACTCTTGTGAGCTTTCATAACGCCTCTATTATCAAAGTTATTGAAGTTATTAAAAATAATTGTGATCCGGGACACTACAAAATTCTCAAGGAGAGACAAGTATTTGAGGAATATAATCACATCATTGACATATTGTTCAGAATAGCTAGCTATTACTTGATACCTTATGTGTGCATAGTCTGCATCATTCCAATTTTATCACGTTCGTCAGGTGAATAGTTTCCAATAATCCATAGCGTCTATTCCTTCATAATTTGCTTTGAAATGTAGATCGTACATCCGTCGATTCAAGTAACGATTCCAGTGTCGAAAACAATTATCCACTACCGTTAGACCTCTATCAGCTCCACGATATCAATAACGAAGTGATATATTTTCTGACATACATGTTCATAGTGATAATATTGACATTCAACGTTCTCATCCGCTTGAATATCGATTTTCTCTTTGTACTTACCGTATTTCATCTGTGTGGACAAATTTCGGTTTTATCAATTCGGATTGAGAATTTAACAACCAGTCATCCTAAGATCTTTCAAGAAGAACTTATAGCGGTGATAAATTATCATCACACTATCATATGGTAATTCTTTACAAAAGTGTATCCAATTTTTTAGAGTGAAATTGTTAATATTGTTCAACAGGTTGAGCAAAAGGATGAAAAGAATATTTAGTTTTTATTTGGCCTCATTTCTACTGACTTCAACATTCCTCCTGTGCTTGACAAATTACCAAGGGTTAGCTGTATGTTTTCAGAGTGGTAGTTGATGCTTTCACGATTGCATAATTTTCACTTTATCTTTAGAACATGAAGCAAGGTAATTCCTTTAAAGCCATCAGATGTTTTCTATGCACATTTATTATTTCGGGAATGGTCTTTGTTAACTGTTTACTTGGAAACTTTCTTGTTGCTGAGGTAATTAAAATACAATTATGAAGCTCCAGCTCAACAGTACATTGAGTGAAATACGTGGCGAATTTTCAGAGTGGCAACTTGGAGAGGGCATTCTACGAATGTTTATGGTACAAAACATCTCCCGCTTTTCAGAAGATGATTTTGGTGTGTCTGATGCAATCCCAATCTCCGTTGTATCTGAGTGCTGGCGGATTTACTGTCGTCAGCCTTGCTACATTGACAGCAGTGAGACCTTGTCATTTTCGATATCAAAGCATTGATTTGTTGATGTTTTTTATGAAATATTCAATACAGGTCATGAAAACTACTGCAGGATATCTGTCATTGCTACGCGCCGTTATGTAGTTAAAATCATACGGTGTAATTTGGAGCTAGAGGAGTTCACGATAATAGTTACAAAACATTTAGGTAAATAATTGAAAACTCTCCACGGACGAAAAAATATAATAGAAAAACTTATCGAATTCGTTAGAAAATTCTATTGAATTTCTATTGAACTGTTCTATTAGTTTTTGGCCGATTCTATTGAAATGTTCAATAGAAAATATTCAGTAGAAACAGTCAATAGAATTCAATTCTTCTATAGAACTTATTCTATTGAGATATTTTCTATAGAATTTCCTCGGCTCAAATTTTCGAAATTTTTTCGTTTGATTTTCTTGATGAGAAGAAAATGAAAATAGAATGAAAAAATGTAGCGAAGCTACTTATTTATCGTTCGAATTATTTCACTATATTGTATTCGCACCGGCTTAGCAGCCGAATACCTGACTACGTCACCTCCTGACGATTCGTCATATTTCGGGCACCCTCGATCGGATGATCTAATTGCCTATATCGTCGCGAGAGACAGATTCGTCATAGCTCTCAAGGTGTAAACATTGACACATTCGCTGTGAATAAATTTCATTCGATTTCTACCGTTATAACGCGTGTTATAATTTCATCAACCCGTCCAACATTCCCGAGTATCCCACAAATGGTGACCCCGACGTGATCCTTTTAACGTGATCCTTTTAACGTGATCAATAAAATTATCGTTTTAACGTGTTCAGAGTGAAATAGTTGCCGTTAAAATTAAAGTAATTTTCGATCGCGTGGTTTTCGTGGATCATTCGAGAAGCGTTGGATTTTTCGACACGTGCTCGGTAGCGTTA